TGTCAGTCGTTGAAACAGATGCGACAATTTAAATTTTGATTTAAAGCTTTCGCGACTGCAGGGATTCATATTCTTGGTTCTTTCAGTAAAGTCACGTAGAAGGGAAATAATAAAATAATATGAATATAAAATAATAAAAATTCTCACGACGTTTCGACTGATGATTGCTGCTTGTGTTGCAGTCGAAACGTCGTGAGAATTTTTATTGTTTTATATTAATATTATTTTATTATTTCCCTTCTACGTGGCTTTACCGAAAGAACCAAGAATAAGATGCGACAATGTTAATAGCTGCACAGCGGGTTTGATGAAACCAACTTAAGTTGCTCCTTACGTTGCCCCGTGCTTAATTTGTGTTTTCGACGATTTACCTTCTAAACAAAATAAAATCTGGCCACGTCTCGCATCCCCAGCAAGGGCATCTGGCTCCCCCAGTGGGTGTGTGATGCACCCCAGGCCAAGAATCACTGCAGTCCCAGATTGACAAACTAATTTCTTGACATACTCTTAGGTTTTTTTCGGTAAAGTCACGTAGGTAAAACATAAAATTAAAATTAAAGTAATAATAGAAATAAAATAAAATAATAAATCAGTAAATCAAAGTTGTGATTTATTATTTATTTTATTTCTATTATTATTTTTATTAATTTTATTTTTTACCTACGTGACTTTACCGAAAAAAACCTAAGAGTATGATTCCTTCCAGTCACGAAAGCTTCAAATCTAGAATTAATTTCTTGACGACTGCCTTTTTTTTGCTTTCAGTTTAATGCCCTTCGTCCGCACCTCCGATTATCGACGGTTGGACTACGTACGGCGGTGCGGAATAACTTCAACATACACACAGCAGCAGCAGCAGCACCACCACCAGCACTGAATATTGTGTTCACATAAGTATCGCAAAGTGACAAGCGCATGCGTGACCAGACAGCAGGAGAGGCAGACCAAACGGGGGGTGGGGGGGGTGATGTGGCTCGCTTTTTCAATGGCCCAGTAAAACAACAACACACTAAAGCACATGCACAAACACGCCAACCACCACCACCCACCCATCCAGCCCCGCGATAATAATTCAGAGCCAAAGGGTCAAATCACTCCTCGACAGTGGAGGGCGACTTCGTTTTGCTCGCCAGGGCCTCTTCCCTCTCTGTCCGGGCAGAGAGCGGGGCCCCAATGGCCGGTTTATCAGGCCTGTCCTTGAGGCGACAGCCTACGCCTTGCATGAATAGGCCTCCTGTTACAAGGCGGTGGAATCTCTGTGTTGGCACTGCCCTCAGGCCTGTCCGTGAGGCAACAGCCTAAATCTTGTAGGAGTAGGCCTACTCCTCCATCTATAATGCGGTGGACACTCTGTGTTGGCACTGCCCTCAGGCCTGTCTGTGAGGCCGTCAATGGCCTCATCTTGTAGGAGTAGACCTCCATCTATAACGCGGTAGACACTCTGTGTTGGCACTACCCTCAGGCCTGTCCGTGAGGCAACAGCCTCGCCTTGTAGGAGTAGACCTCCTCCATCTATAACGTGGTGGACACTCTGAGTTGGCACTGCTCTTAGGCATGTCCAGAAGGCCGTCAATGGCCTCATCTTATAGGAGTAGGCCTACTCCTCCATCTATAACGTGGTGGAATCTCTGTGTTGGCACTGCCCTCAGGCCTGTCCGTGAGGCGACAGCCTCATCTTGCAGGAGTAGGCCTACTCCTCCATCTATAACGTGGTGGACACTCTGAGTTGCCACTGCCCTCAAGCCTGTCCGTGAGGCGACAGCCTCATCTTGTAGGAGTAGGCCTACTCCTCCTCCATCTATAAGGCGGTGGACACCCTGAGTTGGCACTGCCCTCAGCCCTGTCCGTGAGGCGACAGCCTCGCCTTGTAGGAGTAGACCTCCTCCTCCTCCATCTATAACGCGATGGACACTCTGTGTTGCCACTGCCCTCAGGTCTGGAGTCAATGAGACGGCATCCTAACCCAGCAGGAAGCCTCCTGCTATAAGGCGGTGGTGCGTGGTGGACTATTTGTGTCGGCACTGCCCGCAGTTATGTCGTGAGGGTGGCGGCCTGACTTCGTAGGAGGAGGCCTGCTCCTGCTATAACGCGGTCGAAGAGGCCTCCTGCTACAATGCAGTGGAACGCGCTGGGCGTTTTGTGTTGGCACTACCCTCAGATCTGTCGTCAATGAGGTGACGGCCTAACATCCTTCTGCTATAACCCGGTGGACTCTTTTCATTGGCACCGCTCGCAGATCTGCCGTGAGCTAGGCGGCCTAACCCCCTTGCAGGAGGCATCATCTTGCTGTCACGTGGTGGAGTCTTTTTATTATTACACGCTTTCTATTAACTCACTCTGTCTGTTGTTGTTGTCGTTGTTGTATCCTCAAATCTTGTAACTCAATTTAACCCACTTCCCAATGTGTTATCGACTGCAAATTTGGTATACTTATGTCATACTGATGACAATACTATATTCTATCATTACAAATAAAAAACATATTTTTAAACCATCTTTTTTATATGTTATGTTTTATTACACGCTTTCTATTAACTCACTCTGTCTGTTGTTGTTGTATCCTCAAATCTTGTAACTCAATTTTAACACACTTCCCAATGTGTTATCGACTGCAAATTTGGTATACTTATGTCATACTGATGACAATACTATATTCTATCATTACAAATAAAAAAATATTTGTAAACAATCTTTTGTATATGTTCTGTTTCGGCTTGGCTCTAATTGTCCGCGCTCAACTGACGTTGTCTGTAAATCACCACAGTCCCTTAAGTTGTGGCAAGCTTCGGGCCCACTTCCTGGAGTCGTGGAGTTCTTCCATTACTCGTACGGTACATTTCATTAAAGCGTGTTTTTTAAAAAAGTTTTTTTTAAAAATATTACTTCTTGTTCGCACTGCCCAGCAGGCATGCCATGAGGCGCAGGCCTCAACTTGCAGGTTGGGGCCTCATCCTTCTATAACGCGGCGAGGCCCTCTGTAAACTCACACGTTTCTCACGACGATTCGATTCTATCCTTGCGTACGGCAATACAATACTGCATATCCGATCACGGTGTTGATGATCTTGTGCTTTATTTATAGAGCGCCTTGAAGGCGCTTAACATAATTTAACACAGACGGTATATACAAACAAACAATATCGACGGCAGGGTCGTGCAGCGGACGAGAAACGGGTGATCAAGATGTAGAGGTTCAATAGGGGTGAGGGTAGGGGAACAGTGGAGGGGGGAAGGAAGAGGAGGAGGAATGGACAGTGGAGAAGAAGTTTGAGGCTTTAAGACAGGAACGTAAGGAGGTTAAGGAAGGGAGGGAGGGGGGGTGGGCGGCATAATGTGATGAAGATGAGTGGATGATAGGGGCCAGCCTCATAGCAGCAAACATGCTCAGCTTGGGTTACTCTCGAGGAGCAAATATCGGCCACCCCCACGTGCCCACATCCCTCCCAAGTGCCCCCCACGCGTACCACGTGGACAAATCGTTGGTCAATTAATCCCCCATGATCCACGTGGCATGGGCAGGCCGTCGCTCAGCAGCGGATTGACACAAATGGCTGTACGAGTGGCTGTCCACGACAAAACGTTTCTCTTTGGGCGAGATCGCGTGAATAGAAATGTGTCGCTAATCCGCCACCACCCGACACAGCCAATTATGGTTGTAACGTAAACGAAACGTGCCCAATGCGTTACTACTTCCTCGCGTGGGATATTGCTATCTTTGGGCTATTGCATTCTACGAACAAAACGGGCATTTTGTACAAAAGAAAAAGGTAACGAATCTGAACAGTGTCAGTAATGGAGGCCTCGCCTTGTCCACATGAGCAGTAATCACGCGAACTCAAGTCATCCTCGCAGCAGCAAGCGGCCTTTGGCTGAGCCATCGAAAAAAGACGGTCACCGCTTCGCACGGCGCTTTCAGATGCGCTTCTGCGTCCATCTGCAATGCTCTTCCGATGTTCGGCAGTCACCGGGAGATATTCTCTTTTAAATCTCGTTTGTTGTCCTTCCCCCGCACCTCAAATTATCATGGTTGGCTACGTACGGTGCGAAAGAAATTCAACTCACATGCACAACGACTGCCGATTCCCCCGCCGTGGCACTTGCCGCAATAGCTGTCCAACATCAAACAACGAGGAACTGAGGAATTGGTGGATATCTGAACACACTGCCGCCACCCACGCACGTGCAAAGCATCTTCAGCCCAAACATCTGAAATTATTATCATCAAATATCCCCCCCCCCCCCCCGCGCGTCGTTCTGTTGATGCCACCGTTCAGGAAATGTATTTCTCAGCTCAAGACACCGTCTCAGTGCTCCCGACTCGTTGATTTACTCACAGCTTGATGCACGGAATTGGAATTATACCTCCGATTCTTGCTGTTGTTTCCTTTGCGTTTCATTCGATGATCGACCGTCAATCCTTTTGGCACGCTCCATCTGCATTACCGCCAGCAAGTCGTTTAAGTTCACGATTGAGCTCAAGTTTTCGTTGTCAGCTTCATTTAAAAACTGTTGATACATGCATAGCAGCCCTAAGAAACCTGCCCACGTAGTTCTCAAGGATATATCTTCATTGTGAACCCAAGTCGTTAGCGGGTACAAATAAAAAAAAATCTGAAAAAAATGTCTGTGAGCACAAGCTTGCATGCTTATATAGAAAAAAATTCAGATCTAAAATATTGACAAATTTGGACTCATTAGAGCCATAAGAACTATGAGTAGGATGTATGTGAATACCATTGGTTTGGTTGATCGAACTGCGAATAATACAATAATCCACGATTATAGCAGCTTCTTTTGCGCCTCCTGGCTTTGCAGCTTTAACTCGGAACTAACGTTTTCCATGATCGCCCTTTGCTCATTACAGATGACTTCTCGCATGGCGCTGCATCTTCGTGTCCACAGTTTCGCTCGAGTCTATTTTATTGCGCCAAGCACATCGTCGGCGCCGTTTGCCGCACGTGCGAAAGCTCCTCTGCGATGAAGATGTGACTTGGCGGGCACTAGGCAATGGGTCCTAGCCCCGTCCGCTCAGAAAGGTTATTGGGGACTTGTCCAGAATCCACCTCCTTGAGGATTGCCACCACGTCAGCCCCGTCGCCCCTGCCGCTCTGCGGGTTGACCTCCGTGGACATTTGCTTGAGAACTTCTTCATCGCCTCCTCCGCCGCCTCCTCCTCCACCTCCTCCGTCGTCATTGGTGTTGAGGCTGGACACGTGCGAGTAGTGGGCCTGGTCCTCGCTGTCCATCTCGCGGTGGTAGAAGTAGTTGAAGTTGGAGACGATCACGGGCACCGGCAGCGCGATCGTGAGCACGCCCGCGATGGCGCACAGCGAGCCCACGATCTTCCCCCCCACGGTCTTGGGCCACATGTCGCCGTAGCCCACCGTGGTCATCGTGACAACGGCCCACCAGAACGCGTGCGGGATGCTCGTGAAGTCCGTTTCGGACTCGTCTGACTCGGCGAAGTAGACGGCGCTCGAGAAGAGGATGACGCCGATGAAGAGGAAGAAGATGAGGAGGCCCAGCTCACGCATGGAGGCGCTCAGGGTCTGGCCCAGGATCTGCAGCCCCTTGGAGTGTCGCGACAGCTTGAAGATCCTGAAGACGCGCACGAGGCGGACTACCCTGAAGATCGCGAGCGACATCGTCTGCTGCCCGTTGCCCTCCTGCTCCGCCAACTCGGTGCCCAGGGTGATGAAGTAGGGCACGATGGCCACGATGTCAATGATGTTCATGATGTCCTTGAAGAAGGCCGGCTTGCTGGGACTTGCGAGAAAGCGCACCGTGAGCTCGAAGCTGAACCACACGATGCAGACGGTCTCGATGATGAAGAATGGGTCCGCGAACGAGCTGCCGGAGGCCTCGTCCTCCGCCTCAGTGCCGTTGACGAATGGCACGGCGAACGAGGCGTTCTCCCTCTCCTCCCGGAACATGGGCAGCGTCTCGACGCAGAAGATGATGATGGAGATGACGATGACGAGCACCGACACGATGGCGATGCCGCGCGCTGGCCCCGAACTCTCGGGGTACTCGAAGAGGAGCCACACGTGGCGCTGGAACTCGTTCGCCGGCATCGGCCTCTCCTCCTCCTTCGCGTAGCCCTCGTCCTCACGGTAGCGCACCATCGCCTCGTCGCCTAGCTCGTAGAACTTGATCTCCTCGGAGAAGATATCGAAGGGGACGCTCGCCGGCCGCCGCAGCCTGCCGCCCGACTGGTAATAGTAGAGGATGGCGTCGAAGCTGGGCCGGTTGCGATCGAAGAAGTACTCGTTGCGCAGCGGGTCGTAGTAGTGCGACCGCCGCTCCGCGTCGCCCAGCAGCGTGTTGGGGAACTGCGCCAACGTGCCCAGCTGCGTCTCGAAGCGCAGCCCGGACACGTTGAACACCACTCGCTCCATGTCATCGTGCTGCTCGCCCGGTCCCTCTCCCGCCCCCCGTCCGCACGCCTCCGCGTCGCCGAGTCGAGCCTCCGTGTCCTCTTCGACGAGAACGCCGATGATACCCTTGGGCGGTAGAGATCCGGACCCCTCCGCCCGAATGCCCATGGACTCGGTCGATTCCAGGCTTTCTTTCCTCTGCTTTCTCCTGCCTGCGCCCGTCCGCCTCTTCCGTTTCTCGTTGCTGTCGTCCCTTTTGTCTTCACCGTCGTCGTCGCCGCCGCTGCTGCCGCTGCTGCTGTGGCTGCTGCTGGACGCGGGGGACGGCGCGGCGAGGGCGGACGCGGCGGCGACGCGCTGGTCCTTGAGGCCGGTCATGCGGGCCGTGCCGACGAAAAGCGCCTGTGCGGTGCGCGGGAGGTGGTGGTGGTGGTGGTGGTGGCGATGTCCATGAGATCCGGAGACGGCCGATTCCATCCTGGATCGATAACGGCGGCGACGGCGGCGGCGGCGGCCGGCGAACTCTCCTGCCTCGCGCAAGTTGATTTTGGGACGCGAAATTGAAATTGAAAGACGTGTCGATGATGAACGAGGCACGGCGGCAGGAGGCGTTGACTGCAGGTTCACCGTCTGCTCCCGCTCAGAGCGTCGAGAGCACTCTGGGCACACTGAGACTCACACGGTAGCGGCTGACTTAACACCCCGAGTTCGGTCCAACAGCACACACGTGTTCCAGCGTCTCATTTACATCCATTCGGGTTTCTCAAAAAGGCTCGGTGGGGGTGCACTTATTTATTCCTTGCCCCCCCCCCCCCACCCACCCACCACCTTTCCACTTGTGAAAACAAAAATCCGCGAAAAAGACGGCAACACGCCGCTTCTCCACTTCTGTCGCAAACAAGGCCGTGTAGCCCCTTGGCACGCAAGCGCCCTGTCGTCTACAAGCCGTGTCTTCGTGTGTGTGTGTGTGTCCCCGCAACCACCGATCTCATCGCAGGCAGAAACGAACATGATACAGAGAGAGGGGAGAGGGAGAGAGGAGGGGGGGGGGGGACGGAGAAGGTAGGCAGGCATGCGTTCATTAAAAATAACCCTGGCATCAATGACCGTGTTCATCCAGTGCCACAAGGAAAAGTAAGACGACTGGCACGAACCAGAAGCCAGAGGGGTGTTCTTGCAACCCTGAGCCTCCTGCTTACAAAAATATAGCGTGGAATGTATCAGGGTTTCCACATGCAGGGGGCTTGGGGTGGCTGGGGGGGGGTCAGTGGAATTCGTGTAGCTCTCCCTGACCAAGCTCAAAGCATCGCAAGCGAAACGTCGGCGCGGGTTTTTGGACGGCGAAGTCTGGAAGGCGACCACGGTCGGGTCAGTCGCTTGGACACCGTGTGAATCATTCCATCCGAGAGTGTTACTCAACTAGAAACTAAAAACTATATTTCACGTTGCCAGGTAAGGCACCACCACCGAGCTATATACTGCCCTCTCTTTCAGAGAAGCGACCCGGACACGGATGGTAGCCCAACGAAGTGGCAAATCGCGTGGCATTTAAAGGCAGCGGACAAAATCCTCTTAAACGCGTGGTGACGTCGGTTCTAAATGTGGAAGGGAAAAACCGGAGGACCCGGAGAAAAATCCACGTGACTACGGGGAGAGAGAGAGAGAGACACCGCAAGCTCCAAATATACAGCAGCAGGCGTCAGGGTTGGGGATCGAACCCACGACCTATTGTATACCAGGCGAGGTAGTTAACGTCTCATAGCCACCGTGATGATGATGAGAGACACAAACTCCAAATATACAGCAGCAGGCATCAGGGTCGTGATCAAATCCACGACCTCCTGTATACCAGGCGAGGTAGTTAACGTCTCATAGCCACCGTGATGATGATGAGAGACGCAAACTCCAAATATACTACAGCAGCGGGCATCAGGGTCGGGGATCGAACCCACGGCCTCCTGTATATCAGGGCGAGGTAGTTAACATCTCCTAGCCACCGTGATGATGATGAGAGACGCAAACTCCAAATATACAGCAGCAGGCGTCAGGGTCGGGGATCGAACCCACGACCTCCTGTGTACCAGGCGAGGTAGTTAACATCTCCTAGCCACCGTGATGATGATGAGAGACGCAAACTCCAAATATACAGCAGCAGGCGTCAGGGTCGGGGATCGAACCCACGACCTCCTGTGTACCAGGCGAGGTAGTTAACATCTCCTAGCCACCGTGATGATGATGAGAGACGCAAACTCCAAATATACAGCAGCGGGCGTCAGGGTCGGGGATCGAACCCACGACTTCCTGTACACCAGGCGAGGTAGATAATATCTCCTAGCCACCGTGATGATGATGATGATGATGAGAGACGCAAACTCCAAATATACAGCAGCGGGCATCAGGGTCGGGGATCGAACCCACGGCCTCCTGTATACCAGGCGAGGTAGTTAACGTCTCATAGCCACCATGATGCCCAAGGGAGGAGGTGGAGCGGGGGGGTACATATCCCGCTCACCCCAACCGCTCACCCTAACCGGATGAGTGGGATATGCTTCTCAGTGGGATACATATCCATAATCCGAACCGGGTGAGTGGGATCAATATCCCGCTCATCCTCACTGGATGAGAAGCAGGCAGAATAGTCCTCGCCAACTGTGTTTAATAATGATGTACGTTCTTTTTTAAGGGCTACTTGTTGTTGATGAGTGTGCTTGTGCATTGCCTGTCAATGCTGCAGCATCGACACATAATTTATTCAAGCAGATGGATTGTTTGATGATGATTCTAATATATTTAGGATTCGTCGCTTTGCTAATTTTGATTCATATGTAGTTTTTTTCTGACTTTATGTGAACGAAAATACACAAATTCGCCCGTTTTGTCATTGAAAATAGGAGAATTTCTAAATATCACTGTCCTGGTCACAAAAGCAAAGTTTGTGGGGAATAATAGTCGTTTTCTGCACTTTTGAGGCATAAGCAATTAGGAAATAACACTTACTACCCAGGAACAAAAATTTAAAAAAAAGTTTGTTACACAGTGTCATGATGCATTGGCAGTGGTGCACATTTAACAAAACAACCAATTAACACCTTTGTCATTAACACCGCGGCCTTAAAATAAATCATATCGTAGGTGATGTTTGGGGCATTCTTCATAGGGCTGCATGATGCAAGAACAACGAAACAAACCCCGTTTTTACACTATGAGACATCTCCTTTACCAGTGGCAAAATAGAGTAGTAGGTTTTACCCTTTAAACTGGTACAAAACTGACACCTTTATACAAGGCATCATGTTTGCAATAACCACAACACAAGTAGTCATGCTTACCCCGAGCTCTCAATACTCTGATATAGTGCACTGTTTTTGAGTTGTACGCCTTTTGGTGTAATCTGGTCCAACACCAATGGAGACTTGGCTCTAAGGAAAGCTGTCTCGGGTGTGGACCAATCAACTTCAAGGTCAGTGCATATCATCATCATCAGAGTTGTTTCTTTTTGTTTGCATTTTGACTACTTGTGTTGTGGTTATTGCAAACATGATGCCTTGTATAAAGGTGTCAGTTTTTGTACCAGATGAAAGGGTAAAAACCTACTACTAAACCCCGTTTTAGAGCATCTTAAGCGCAAAAACTCAACGGCAGGGATGAGCTCCCCACCAAACGTCGAACCCCTTTCAGTACTGCTCCTCCAGTGGGCATCGCTTCTCAAGAGCATCCGTGAGGTCATTTAGGCACTCGCCCTCCCTTGCTTTGCCTTCTCCTGCAGCCAAGGGAGCAGGGTTTGTTGCGATCTCGTTTGAAGCTTTCGTGACTGCAGGGATCCATACTCTTTGGTTCTTTCGGTAAAGACGGTCGCGATCGAAACGTCGTGATCTCTTAATTTCCTATCTTCGTGACTTTACCGAAAGAATCAAAGAGTCAGGTTTGTTACAGTTTATTGAAACGATTTATTGAAACGATTTATTGAAACGATTTATTGAAACGTGCGGTTTAAGACAGGTTTTCATTGCGCTGAAATCCCTCACGTGTGCTTTGTGCTGGTGTCTAAACCCCCAAATTCATATCCCCTGCGGTGCTGTGGGAGCTGAATAGTCTCGCTCAATATTAATAATAATAAAATATTTTTGGGAGGGGAAAAAAAGACCCCACCGGCGAACAATGTTAATGCTACCCCCATCCCCTCCCTTTGATGCTGCTAATCCTGCATAATGACTTTCAAACTCCATAAATATGCTAAATTCCTCTTGATATGCAAATTCTTTTGTCAAGGCGCTCTTCTTCCACCCCTCCAACCCAGCTTAAATATACGCACCAAGCTTGGTGGTGTTTCATTCTTCACCTGAGGACGGCTGCTTGCGTTGTGGCCGAAACGTCGTGAGAATTATTTGCATTATGTTTTATTTTTATTATTTTATTACTTCCCTTCTACGTGACTTTACCGAAAGAACCAAGAAGATGAAGCCGCGTTGACTGTGAGCCTCGGTAGCTACACTGCACCGATGAGTCCTAAGCGCGACGAAACCTGTCCACAGTTGTCGTTCGGTCAGTGTTAGTGCTCAAACTCAATGTGACGGTGACTCCGAGACCAGGGGTTGGGGGGGGGGGAGATCACGCTCAGGTTGCGAGAACTCTGCTGCCTGCTTCTCATCCGGTTAGGATGAGCTGGACATGTATCCCACTCACCGCGGGAACGCTCGCAAAGCCGCGCGGCATTTATCATCCGAGGGAACACAAAACACTGGTCAACACACTTTTTGTGGCATAAGGTATTCCAACGGTTTTAAGGTGCTGATTCCAAATCTGGCATCTGTTTTTGTCTATCACATCAGGTTTTTGAGATATCAAATATTGCATTTTCAATAAAAACTGCGGAAGAAAAATATTAAATGAATGTGGATATCTACATAAAATGATATTATTAACACACTATCCTAAAAATACAGCACCGTAGTTTAACACTAAAGCAGTCACTGACTCGCAACAACTTGCAATCATAAGTGACAGAGTTAATTTCGGGTAAAATCAATGAAAATGGGGTATGCCGATAGCATAAAAATAAGAAGTGATAGAGCAAATCTGAGATCAGATTTGGAATCGGCATCCTGAAATTAGTCTAAAACAGCTGCAAAAGTCCAGGGCAGAAAAAATGTTTTTTGTTGTTGTTGACCAGTGTTATTGACGGGTAGAGCTGCAAGTTTGATCGCTGAGCCGGGCACTTTAGAACTGTAGCAACAACAATCTTAATTTTGGAGCTTTCGTGACTGCAGGAATTATTCTTTGGTTCTTTCGGTAAAGTCACGTATAAAGATAAAATCAAAAATTAAATAATTGCATACTACTGTCTATAGTTTTCTGGTTAGATTTTTGTTGCTATTTCTTTTATACCTGATGATAATTGCTTGTGTTGCAATCGAAACGTCGTAGTATGCTATTATTTAATTTATTATTTTATCTTTGTAGCAACAACAACAAACATCGATCGGCTTTTGGTGCATTTGGAGTTACCGTTGTTCTCCAAATGCACCAAAAGCCGATCTCCAAAATTCGCGTGGCCGGTGTCAATGTGGTTCACACAAATGTGGTCTCACAAAGACAAAGATCCCCTGCACCGCATAGCCTCAACCGACTGTTGGGGCGAGTGCCGTTCGCGAGTAGCATCTTCGTGAAGGCCGGCACGGCACACGAGTGTGTGGTGTGGACCAACACCACCCCCGGCCGCCTTTGTCTCCCCCAGTGGAGATTTTTACACACCGCCGCGCCAGGTACCCATTGAGGTGGTGGGGTGGGGGGGAGTGTGTCTTACAATCTGGAGAACGCGGCAAAGTCAAATGACATTCACAAGACAGAATCGGAATGTTTATTTATCGTGGAGAAAAGCCGATGAACTGTGAAGATGTTTTTCCGCAGACGCCGTTGAAACATCCTTCAAAGCTTTCGTAACTGCAGGGATTCATCTTCTTGGTTCTTTCGGTAAAGTCAGACTCTGTCTTCTCGACAGACCTGTTCTTCACCTGAGGACGGCTGCTTGCGTTGTGGCCGAAACGTCGTGAGAATTATTTTATTATGTTTTATTTTTATTATTTTATTATTTCCATTCTACGTGACTTTACCGAAAGAGCCAAGAAGATGATCCTTCAGTGACGTCAGCGCGATTTCGAAGCGCTCAATGCGCTACTTAAAATCGGTTTTCTTCCAGAAAATATAAACGCATGAAACCCAAAAAAAGCGAGTACCGTATCTATGCATTTTTATTTCTTTCAAACAATAATTTAAATTAAAGTGCTACACTTTTTAAACGAAAACTAAAATCTAAAAAGTAATCCGAAACTTTTTTTTTTTCCAACAACATAACACCAAAAGCAAATCTCGGTTCTTTTTATATTCGCGAGCCAAACTAATGGCCAGCAGAAGTTTAGGTTATTTTGTCAAGAAGGACCAAAGCCCCCTTTCTCAAAGGTGACAAGAGCAGGAATACACGTGTGGTGCATCGTTAGCACGAACATTAAGAGCATTGACACGTTAATTGTTAATCATCATTATCATCACTTATAACTTGTTTTTTTTATTACAAATTTAGATGTAGTGTTTCTTGGTAAACGGTGTGCTTTACCAACGGCACTTTTTACGACTAATGTTACTCTTTTTCTAATTCCTTAGCTCAAAACTTTTACAAGATGCATTTTATATTTTAAATTACATAATTGCTTAAATGTTTTTCTAACTCATTCATTTGTATTAATCGTTTACCTTTTCTCTGTAACGTCCGTCACGGAAAATGGTGTTGCGTGCGTGCGTGCGTGTGTTTTTCTAATTTACGAAACCCGACTTAAAGGGGGCCTCTTGTAGCTCCCAGGGTACTTCACGATAAACTAAATCGACCCATCACGGCGAGCCAGGCAGGCCCAGCTGTAGCAGCTGGGCGGTCGGGACGGCCTGCCGGCTGGCCACGGAAGATTCGTGGGCCACGAGGGTGGGTGCCCAAGGTGAAAAAAACAACAACAAAATCCTGCCCAGTGGCAACGTTTAACACGTAGGAGACTTTCGCGATCAATATCATCCATAACGCATTCTCACGACGTTTCGGCCACAACGCAAGCAGCCGTCCTCTACGTGACTTTACCGAAAGAACCAATAATTATTGTATTATGTTTTATTTTTATTATTTATTACTTCCCTTCTACGTGACTTTACCGAAAGAACCAAGAAGATGAATCCCTGCAGTCACGAATGCTTTAAATCGAAATTATTTTGTCTTTTGTCAACGTGACACTTTTTTAGTAATTGGCCGTGTCGGGTGGTGGAGGGTTACGACACATTTATAAATAACGCGATCTAACCCAAAAACGTTGATTATGAATAATATTTCGATTTAAAGCTTTCGTGACTGCAGGGATTCATCTTCTTGGTTCTTTCGGTAAAGTCACGTAGAAGGGAAATAATAAAATAATAAAAATAAAACATAATAAAATAATTCTCACGACGTTTCGGCCACAACGCAAGCAGCCGTCCTCAGGTGAAGAACAGGTCTGTCGGGGAGACAGCTTGCGTTGTGGCCGAAACGTCGTGAGAATTATTTTATTATGTTTTATTTTATTATTTTATTATTTCCCTTCTATGTGACTTTACCGAAAGAACCAAGAAGATGAATAATATTGGTCTCGAAAGCCTACGTGTTCAACTGGTTCTTCTCTGCTCTGCCAAGAAAGTGTGGTGGGGGGTGGGGGCAGGAGGCAGGGGGCAGGATTCGATTCACGGAGCCACGAGATATATTAATTGTCAGCATCAGATGCACGAGATATTAATACGGAGCCTGACGTCAAATCACGCCGCGGATTAAGTGCGAGATATCGTCTGCCCCGCTGTGCTGGCTTGCAACAGCCGACTAAATTTGGACGCACGTTTCCACA